CAATAACTGATAGATCAAAGAAATCAAAAGAGAAATTTGAAAATACTTTGAGAAAATGACAACAAAAACACAATATATGAAAGTCTATAAAGTGCAGTGCTTAAAGGGAAATTTATAGCTGTAAATGCCTACAATAGAAAAGAAGAAATATCCCAAATCAATAGTCTAACTTTATACCTTTAAGAAACAAAACAAAAAATCATAATTAAAATAATATGGTACTTCCTTACAAACTGGAAAATCAATGGAACTTAAACATCCAGAGATAAATCCATGCTTGCAGAGGACTTGGAATGAATGGAATAAATAACACCATGTCCACATGGTGTTAAGATTTATTATTTGGAAATTTATTATTTGGAAGAAAAGAAAATTGGATTCTTACACCATGTCAAAAAATTCCAGATCAAAGTGTGAAGGAAAAAAAACAACACTAATAAAAGAAAGTATAATGGAGTACTAAGGAGCTCTGGTAGCGTAGTGGTTACGAAACGGGCTGCGAGCCACAAGGTCAGCAGTTCGAAACTACCAGCTGTTCCGCAGGGGAAAAATGAGGCTTTCTGTTCCCGTAAAGATTTACAGTCTCAGAAACCCTACGCAGGGTCACTATGAGTTGCAACTGACTCTACGGCACATAACAACAACAACAACAACATATATATAGTTGGAGTCCTGGTGTGGAGCTGTGGGTTAATGTGTTGAACTACAAAGTTGGGGTGAACTGCAAAGGCAAGGTCAGTGGTTCGAGCACACCAGCTGCTCCTCGGAACCCTATACAGGGTCGCTATGAGTCGGAACCGACTCGACGGCACTAACAACAACAATATACATACAGCCAGATAAAGACAAAGTAATGCTTGTTTTTAATCCTAATTAGTCATCACAAAAGAAGTTATCTGATGTATAATTGTTTTTTTTCCAAATTATGAGTACTCTCTCAAAAGCTGTTTGAGAAAGACATTCTATTAAAATGATGTCAGTTAAGAAATATATATGAAGAATTAGTATAAAATTATTCTATGAAATGTGGGAGTAGACATAGCAACATGTCTACATTAATATATTATAAAATGTGATTTTAATTTTGTGAATTACTAGCTAAATAAAAATTGTTAGCAGACATTTGACTATTTTTCTATAACTTCTATATTTTGAAAGCTTTATATATTGAAGTTGATCAGAAAATTTAAAAATAATTTCATTGAAAAAATAGAGCATCACTTTACTACTTTATATTCCAGCAAAAATGGTAACTTTACTTTCTTAGAATTGGAAAACTTTACTTAAACTCTATTGTGAGAAATATAAGGCTTTCTGCTTCGGGGGAAAAAAAAATAGCCTTGGAAACAGAACTAACTCCATAGCATTTCATAGCAACAAGTCCTAGTGTGATGCTGTAAGATAAGCACTGGACTGCTAACTGCAAAGTTAGCGGTTTAAATCTGCCAGCTGCTGCTTTCGAAAACCTATGGTCACTATGAGTTGAACCAACTTGACAGCACTTAATAACAAGATCACTACACAGAATATATAAGAAATCCTCACAAATTCACAAGAAAAACTAGATACTGCAATTTTTTAAAGATACAAAAGTTATGAATCAGCAATTCACATGATTCACAAGATGCCCACCTCTACTACTAATAAAGGAAAGACAAATTAAAATAACAATTGATACACACATCAGACTGCCAATATTTCTAAGGGAAATGAGAATTGCCTTGCTACATTGGTGACAAGGTAAACTGTTTATGGTCCCTGAATTATAGAAATGACAAACTAGTTATGAGGAAAAATCAACATTATGAAATAAGACAGCATTCCTTGAAACTAGAATCTGAGTTCACTTCAATAAAGATGTTAGGATTGCAGGATTAGGGACAGGATTGTGGGAAAGGTTGAACTTGGGTTAAACCTATACAGTTGGTGCTTTAGAACCAGAATAAGATGTGCAAAAAGGCAGCATTCTGGTAATAGGTAAAAAAAAGTCTGGGTAACATCTGATCTGAGGGCCATATTGTTGTTGTTGAGGACTGTATGTTGTTGTTAAGTGCCATCGAGTCAGTTTTGACCCATAGCGACTCCTGGTATGGCACTGTAGGATCAGCATTGGACTGTGAACCACAAGGTCAGCAGTTCAAACCTACCAGCTGCTCCTTGGAAACCATGTACAGGGTTGCTATGAGCATAATGCCCTCCAAATCATTTGGTCTGGCCCTGCCAAGGCACCTGCAGTTTCAGCCATCACATTGTTGTTGTTGTTAAGTGCTGTTGAGTCAGTTCTGACCTATAGCAACACTGTATAGGGCTTCCAAGGAGCAGCTTATGAGCTTGAACTGCCGGCCTCGCAGTTGAAATGACTTTGCAGTCTGGCGCATTAACCCACAGCTCCGCACCAGGACTCCTCAGCCATCACATTAGGGGTGAGTTAGCAGACTAACTTTTAAATTGATAATTTTGTATGTCCCATGTTTGAATTTTGGCAGAAAAAAAGGTTCCCCTGCCCTAAAGGAAAGACAAATACAATACTACCAAAGAAGAGTGAGGGAAATTAATTCATTAATGGAAAAGATTCCTACTTGGAAAAGTAGACAATAGATTACAAGGGGAACACTAGACTACAGGGTCTTGAAAGCTTCTGGATATTTGGCAGTATCATAGAATGCTTTATCAGAAAGCATGTAATCTAAGCCTATTGTTTTATTGATGAGGAATTTAACATCCAAGGAGGGAAGTAACTTATCTAAGATCACATAGTATAGTAAAAGCAGGTTTAAGATTTGACTGGCAGCAAATATCAGGATAAATTGGAATCTAGATAGAAATCAAGAAGAATTTAAAATCATAAGAGACAAACCTAAAATGGTGAAGTGAAAACAAAAAGAAAAATCTTTCTGAGGAATAAAATACAATACTTGAAAGGAGATTCAAAATAGGTTCCAGAAAAGAAAAAATGCCAATAATGATGCTAAATTCCCTTCTGGATATCAAAACAAATAGTGATAGTACTGGCTATGTTATCAAGCATGTTTTCTGTGTGCCAAATTCTGTTGTAAGCATGATATTCATTAAATTTTGCAACAACTCTATAAGGTAGACACCATTGTTAACTATCATTGTTTTACAGAGAGTGATTCTAAGGCACAAAGTGGCTAAGTAACTTGATCAAGGGCATGCACACAACTAAAAACTGCCAGTCATGATTAAATTCCCAGCTGTTTGTGTGTGGTGCACTAACACACCCATTGCTCTTAGAAATGAAATGGTTTAGAGGTGGTATCAACTCCTAAGAAGAACTGATTGTCCTGTCTTAGCTGAAGTCTTTTGATTAGACTCTGGAGTCCCGATATGACGCTGTAGGATAAGCACTCAACCGCAAGGTCAGTTTGGACCTTAAGGTCGGTGGTTCAAACTCACTAGCCGCTCCTTGGAGACCCTACACAGGGTCGCTATGGTCAGCACTCAACAACAACAACACAAAGCAAAGAACAGAAGACTCTCTTACCACTGTCAAAATAATTCTACTATGTCATTCTTAATGTTACCACCTCCTCCAAAGCAACTTTCAGATCCTAAGGAATACAAGAAAAAAGCTTATACAAAGCAATTTACCACAGTACAGTGAGTTATGTGTTGAGTTGCTAACCACAGGGGTAGCAGTTCCAACCCAACAAATGCTTCACGGAGGGACAAGATGAAGCAATGTATTTCTGTAAAGTTTTACAGCCTTGGCAACCGTTGGGAACTGTTCTACTGTGTCCTATGGAGTCACTATGAGTTGTAACCAACTCCACAACACCTAACCTAATGGCAACAAGAACTACCTAATCTGCTCTCTACTCAGGACAGCATCGTCACAGACAAGACCTTGGATGGTTCACTCAGGCCATAGAACAAAATGTTCTGGAGGACATGCTAACTCTGCCTTCCAAACTGCTCCCAATAAAACCTAGCAGTTTATTAAACTGTTTTCACAGAACTGATGTGACTGAGTTAAAATAGCACCAAGAGGCTTATTTTGCCACCTTTGATTTCTACTTCCCAGCTATGGTGAAGGTAGAAGGGTAAAGTTAGCTACAACTTCCTCAAGCCAGGCTGTACTAGTCAAGAACATTTTCACGACTAGTTTTTGTAAAATTGGAGGGAAGGCAACCATTTTGTGAGCTGATTATAAGAACACGTTGTTATTGTTGTTAAGTGCCGTTGAGTCGGATCCAAACCATAGCGACCCTGTATAGGTTTCCAAGGAGCAGCTGGTGAGCTTGAACCATCAACCTTGTGGTTTAAAGCAACTTTGCAGTCCAGCGCATTAACCCACAGCGCCACACCAGGACATAGCTATGCCTTATTTCTCATATATCTTCACAACTGATGTTGCTGTTGTTATTAAGTACCATCGGGTCGCTTCTGACTCATAATTGACACTGTTTAGGGTTTCCTAGGAAGGGCTGATGAATTTGAACTGCTGACCTTGTGGCTAGCAGTTCAGTGCTTATCTTACAGCGCCACATCAGGACTGACAGATGGGAGTAAAAGCCATCATATGGTGATTAGATCATGAAATAGGAGCTCTGCTGAGAAAGAAGTTAGGGGTTCTCCCTACTTCCCTCCCTCCCTAATGAGGGAAAGCTGTATTCAGGTAAAGGCATGTTGAATTTGAAATGACAAGCCACTCCAGTTGAAATATCCAGAAACAAATGTCTTGAGTTATAAAAGAAGCCACACTGAGTTTAATAAATGAGATTTATTGCTGTGCAATGGGGAGGGATGCGGTCATGAATAACCGGCCACTCTGGGATCTCATTGATACTTGGCACAGGGACCACAGAGTCGCCAGCTTAGAAACCTACACACCCTACTCCCCACTCCCCAGGGGAGTGCCAGGATTCCAGGGCCTTCTGCTCTGGGAAGGTGAAATCCTGGATAAGATGTCGAAAAATCTGAGCACCTCCTGCTTGAATGGCGGAAGCTGTTAGCAGTCAGGTTCTGGTCAAGAAGAATCAGTCTGAGGAGAGAAAGGAATGGGGGGAAAGTCATCATGGGATCTCCCTCCTCCTTAGGCCCCTCCCAGCCTACAACTCGCCATTATAAGGCAGTCTCATTTTGGTCCCAAATCATTTGCAAGAATCTTTCCTACAGCTTTCCACATTACTCCTCCCTCACTCAAAGGTCATAGCCCTGCTGTTCCTGTGTCCTGCCTATACTAATTCTTTGTATATATAAACACATCCCCAAATAGGAGGACACGCCCCTCAGTGCCTAATACAGGCCTCTACACACAGTGACCTAAGGGTCATTGTATGTCCTCCCCATGCCACAGGGCCCCCTACACATGCAGCACCAAGTCTAACTCCCGTGCCCTGACATACCACCTGAACAAGACTTTTGGGAGTAGATGATGAAGACGGTGCCCACAATGATGCCCAGCACACCCAGGCCAAAGGCCACACCACACAATATATTCTCCAGAAGATCTGAGGGAAGAGCATTATGGGGCACTAGGGAAAAAACAGGAGCAGATTAGCTTGAAGTCATGGCTGGGGGGAGTGGGGAGTGGGGGAGGAGGCAATCCAGGGAAACCACAGGAGTATCTGGGGTCACAACGAAGAAACTGAATATTGGAAAATTGGCAGTGGCTCAAAATGAGAATGGACTAAACAGGTTTCAAGGAGAGAAAGAAAACCCCTTCCGTGGGTCTATCACTTTTTGCCCCAGTAAAGGAACAAGGTTTCCAGGGACAAGAGCCTTACCCCAAAAGGCAATTGCAGTATAACCGTCAATCTCATGAGTCACAATGCAGGAGTAAAGGTCAGAGGATTCAGGTGTGAAGTTTAAATACGAAAAGGCCTGGAAAGTGAGTCCATCATTGGCTGAGACAAAAGTGGGCCCGGCTCCTTCCACAGAGACAGATTGGTGCTGCCAGCTCACTGTCAATTTGGGCGGGAAGAGATTACTGACAAAACAGACCAGCGTGTTGGGCTTGCCAAACTCCAGGGGCTTCAGCGTGAATATCTCAGCGACAGGAAACCCTGGTGGGGATTGAGGTATGAGAGAAAGAAGGATGTCATTTAGATGGTTCCTTTGTACCATGTGGAAGGGGAGAAGAGCGAAGTCAGTGGGAAGGAGGAGATGAGAGAGGAGCTGGGTCCCTGAGGAAGGTCTTCTTCCAGGCAAGAACCAGAATTGAACATTGAGGCAGAGCCACATCCAGGCTGCTCTGGGCCCTGCCACTCTGACTTCCTGCTGCATGTCTGAATCGCATGTTGGGATCTACTCACACACTACCTTCTTATTAAAACACAGGTACATCATCAGTGACTTCCATTCTCCCCTTTCATCATTCTGAGCATAGTAACACATGTGCTAATATCATTTATCAGTCAAACAGTAGGCATCAATTGGTCTCTATTGAATTATCAAGTTCAATAAATAGTTTTGAATGCCCACTCAGTGCTAAGCACTCGTTTTCTGTCCCACAACCAAAGCAGAGGGTGCAGACTGTGACTGGTGGAAATACAAAAGTCCTAGGGGAAAACCAACAGTGGGCTCAGATACAACAAGTGTGAGGATGGCTTAGGATTGGGCAGTGTTTCCATAATGTGCATAGAGTTGTAACTCAATGATACCTAACAACAATAAGGGGGAAACCAGAAAGTATTAGAAACGGGGAGCTGGTGTAGAGGGGAATAATTTTGTGTCTAGATTCATGAGGATAAGAATGCCAGCATTCCCACCCTTCACCTCCACCTCTGGCCTAACCTCTGGACACTGGGATTTTTCCCTCAAGTTCTGGGCCTAATCGCTGTGTTAAGAAATTGCATAACCAGCTGTCAAAAGAAATGGTGGTTGCATCTCCTTGATCCTTAGCCCATTCAGCAAATTCAGGCAGACGAGGCACGCGGATGCTCTGGTTAAAGTCATAGGAGAAAAGCTGGTCCTCATCGTAGGCCTCAGAGAGTCCCATGTTTGGATTCCCATTCTGGCAGTATACTGAGTGCAGGAACGTGTGGTTTTGTAGGCCATCCCGCCACACTGGAGTAGGATCTGCAAAGGAGATGGGGGAGAAGGGATGGCTCAAGGAAGCAGACGCCACCTCCTTGTGTTTTATCTTAGTAAACAGCAAGGCCTGCCTCAGGAAGGGGAGCAGAAGTAGGAGAATAAAATCTTGTATATCTGTTATTTAGGCTCTTACTCCCAGTGGGAGGGAAGAGGAAATCAAGAGAAGAGGCACACAGGATCTTTTCAAACTTCTCCTTCCATAACAACGTCACTTATTCTAATCTGTCAAGAGACAATTTATGTGTCTAAAGTGACAGATTCAGAATCACCATGTTGGTTATATGGTTTGTATACTGCATGAAGGCACCCAGCCAAGGAAGCAAGTGGTGGAGGCTGAAATCTAGCCTGCAATCTGCTCTCCAAGCCATGCATCCTGACAGAGGGCTGCATGTTTCCGAAGAGGATGTTGTTGCTAACTGCCACTGATTTGGACCCCAACTCAATGGTGACCACATGCTCAATGGGATTGAACCGTTGTAGTTGATAGGGTTGTTACTGGCTGATTTTCAAAAGTACCAGGCTTCTCTTCCTAGTCTGTCATAGTCTGAGACCTCCATGGAAACATGTTCAAGCCTCCAATGACAGATGAGTGGAGACTAAACTTGAGGAGACTTGGCTGGGAATTGAACCCGGACCTTTTGCACGAAAAGTGAGAATTCAACCACCGAATCACTGCTGCCCTCCAAAAGGGAATACTTTAATTCATATAAGGCCACCATATAGACTTGTGAAGGCCCTGGGCACATTCCCCAGTCTTAGAAGGATGGGAGAAATAATAGTTATGGCACCCCCAAGTCGTAACTGACACTGTTCCAGCCTACCCCAAGGCACCATAATACATGGGAGAACTAGTCCCCAGGATTCTCTTTAGCCCCTTTCATTGACACTAAGTCTCCCTGAAAATGCCTTCCCTTATCTCAACCCTAGTACCTGGCAATGACAGGACTGGGGGAATTGACTCTCCTAGGTAGAAGAAATAACCCCTATTATTTGAAACCCTCTGGAGCTCTGGTAGTGTAGTGGTTACGAATCGGGCTGCAAACCACAAGGTCAGCAGTTTGAAACTACCAACTGTTTCGCGGGAGAAAGATGAGGCTTTCTGCTCCCGTAAAGATTTACAGCCTCGGAAACCCTGTTCAGGGTCTCTATGGGTCAGAACCAACTCGACAGCAATTAACAACAACAACAATTTGAAACCCTGGCAGGAATCCCCCTAGCCAGCAGTAAACCTTCTACCTGAAACTCAGAATAATAGACATTTAGATTATGAGAGATCTTTGAGATTATGCTTCCATTCTGGCCCATCCTTTACAGAGAAAGAAACTAAGGACAATAAGGTTAAGAGTTGAGTGGATGACAGTGCAAAGTAGAACCCTGAGTAACCCACTGCCACCGAGAAGCATGGGGCAAAAAACAAAATAAAACACTTGCTTTGTTCAAGTCCTTATCTACAACTTTCTAACTGTGTGAACTTCAACAAGCTACTTAAAATATTTGAGTCTCATTTTCTCATCTGTAAAGTGGGCATCATAATTTCTGCTTCAAGAGACTGTCTTAAACGGAGTAACCTATAAAGCACTCTGACATTATTTGCCATCCATTGATAGTTGTTCTCTTTCCCAATTCCTTTATTGTTTCCACTACCCCACAATACTCCCACCTCTTGAAAAGGCAAAACTCTTCAAATGTTTTGGGCTGGCTCCCTAGGCTCTAACCCCATCAAGATTGCAGTAAAAAAAAAAAAAAAAAAAAAAAAAGAGGTATTGACATACCTTCATGGGTGGCCCAGGAGTGGGGCAGCAGCCACAGAAGTTGTAGCAGCAGTAGCAATACAACTCCTTGTTCATGATCCATATTTTCACACCACTTAGTGGGCCGGGAGCTACCAATCGAGCACACCAAGATCCCCAAACTCCCTCCCCAGATGGTAGCCTTAGATCATTCTGTCAGCTCACTCCCAATAGTTGTTCTTGTCCTTTGGGCTAAGCCAATCACAGAAGTGTACCATTTAACATCATCCGTTGCTAGGGAAAGACCTGAGACTCGCAGACTGTTTTTACCAGCATACAAGGAGTTCCGATGTGCCGCTGTGGGTTGATGCGCCAGACTGCAAAGCTGTTTGAACTGCAAGGTCGGCGGATCAAGCTCACCAGCTGCTCCTGGGAAACCCTATACAGGGTCGATTTAACAACATCTTAACAAGCACTTAACAGCAACAACAACATCTGGGCTTGGGTTAATGCGCTGGACTGCAAAGTCGGTTCCAATCTCAAGGTTAGTGGTTCAAGCTCACCAGCCGCTCCTCGGAAACCCTATACAAAGTCGCTATGGGTCGGAACCGACTCAATGGCATTTAACAACAAAAACAAACTGGGCTTGGGGCGTACTGGTGTAGCGCTGTTGGATAACTGGACCGTAAGGTCGGTTTAAACCACAAGATTGGCGGTTCAAGCTGACCAGCTGCTCCTTAGAAACCCTATACAGGGTTGCTATGAGTCAGAACCGAATTGACGGCATTAAACAACAACAACTGGGCTTGGAGTCCAGGTATGGTTCTGTGGGTTAATGCGCTGGACTGCACAGTCGGTTTGAACTGCAAGGTCGGAGGTTCAAGCTCACCAGCTGCTCTTCGGAAATCCTATACAGGCTCGCTATGGGTGGGAAACGACTGGACAGCATTTGGACTTCACAGAGCAGTGAAGGAACCTCCTGGTGGGGTTCCCTCTTCAGTGTCCCTCAGTCTCTAACTGAACCAACAGGCTCTCCAGAGCAGTGCCATCCAGTGGTAGAAGTATGCAGTTGTTGTTGTTAAGTGCTGTGGAGTTCATTTTCCTACAACAACTCCCCAGAATCCTTTGGACTCTTCCCTTCTCTCTCCTTCCTTTCTGGATTCCCCTACCCTGTTTCTCAGAAAGGTTAATCTCTGGGCACGAGTTCGCATTTGTTCTGTATAAATATATTGCAAATTTAATAAGTGTTGGATATTGGTCCGAGTGTTAGAAAGAACAATAAGGCACATTCCTGCCTTAAAAGAGTTCAGTCTAGTGGGAGTCAAAAAATACATGCACAACAATGTAATTTATTCAAATAAGAATGTGCTAAATATTTTGGAAGAATCTTATGGGAATGACAAATAGGTAAGGCATGACTAGATTGGCTTCTAAGCGTCTTAAAGGAAAAGCGATTTGACCAGTGGAGCAATGAGGAAAGAGAAAAACATTCCAAGGCAAGATGTGCAAAGGTCAAAGGCCTCCAGAGCTCCTTTGGAGACTGCTATGTGGTGGCTGGTGGTGGCTGTGTGCCGTGGAGTCAGTTCCGACTCATAGTGATCCTGTACAGGGTTTCTGAGGCTGTAAATCTTTACGGGAGCAGAACACCTCATCTTTCTCCCGCAGAACAGCTGGTAGTTTCGAACTGCTGACCTTGTGGTTCTCAGCCCGATTCATAGCCACTACGCTAATGAGGAAAGAGAAAAACATTCCAAGGCAAGATGTGCAAAGGTCAAAGGCCTCCAGAGTTCCTTTGGAGACTGCTATGTAGGAGAATGTAAATGTAGAGACTGCTCATCTGTCTGTCCTGAGTGGTAGTTGGCATAGGGAGGGGTCAAGATGAGCTAGAAATTTAGGCAGGAGTCAGATTACATAGAGCCCATTTCACCACAAGGAGAGTCTGACTTTTACTTAGCTGATGATGTTGTTGTTGTTAAGTGCTGTCGAGTCAGTTCCGATTCATACTGACCCTGTGTAGGGTTTCTGGGGAGGGGCTGGTGAGCAGATGATAGAGATATTAAAACTGGAGAGCGACATAATATTTCAACATTAAAAAAAAATTGTTCTGGTATTATAAACAATGGATTTGAACTTGAACAAATCATTGAGGCAAAACTGCTGAATAGTCTGTAGTGTGTTGTTGATAAGTGCCTTTGAGTCAATTCCAATTCATAGCAACCCTGGATAGGGCTTCCAAGGAGTGGCTGGTGAGTTTGAACCGCCAACTTTGTGGTTCAAACTGACCTTTCAGTCCAGCGCTTTATCCCACAGCGTCACACCAGGACTCCTACAGTAGATCAAAATAAAAAGTTGCCCACATATATCACTGTCTTGTAGCAATATAGCATTAATTTCTATGAGAAATGAAAGGGCCTGGATTAAGAATATTTAGAAGATTCTAAACCATAAGGAACCAAACTCATTGCCACTGAGTGGACTCCAACTCACTGTGCTGCTAGGACAGAGTATAAGTGCTCCGTAGGCTTTCCAAGGTTATAAGTCTTTACAGAAACAGGCTGCTTCACCTTTCTCTCACAGAACCAATGATGAGTTTGAACAATCAACCTTTTGGCTAGTAACCAAGGGCTCTAAGCACTGTGCACCCAGGGTTATTTACATAACTAGGAAGTAGAATAAGAAGAATTTGACTTAATGAGATGGGGTGGGTGGTGGAGAGGAGTCAAGAATAAAACCGAAATGTCTAGCTCAGGTCACTGGGTAGATAGATGGTCAATGACGAATTGAACTAAAATAGAAGAGAAGG